AGCAGCAACAACAACACACACGCAACAACAATCCGCACCGCGGAACCCCACGTCAGCGACAGTGAATGGCCGTTCGGCCCCCTCGCTCTTATATTCTCCGTTCTCACAAGAAAATCGGTTCCACCACCCCTCCCTCCCCGGGGTTAGATCCCCCGGGAACCGATGCTAAACACATAGGTTTCTGAACCAATGTCCATAATTCATATCATGCCAGCCAAACCAGTGTGGGTCCCCCCCTGCCTTCCTCTGCCAAAAATACGTAGCACCCCGCAGTTGCGGATAAGAGTGAGGGGGGCGGCGAGGACGTCGTCAGTCTGCGAGGCTCTGAAGAAGCCCGCTGCAGGCGCCTAACTTTTACAAATATGCAGTGGGCCGCCGCAAGCGTGAATTGTTTGGTTGAAGCAATGTGGGTGGATCGCGGGGTGGGTCGTGGGTGAGTCGCGGGTGGGTCGCGGGCCAGGTCGCGGATGGGTCGCGGGTGGGCCGCATACGTGTCGCGGGTGGGTCGCGGGTGGGTCGCGGGGTGGGTCGCGGGGTGGGTCGCGGGGTGGGTCGCGGGGTGGGTCGCGGGGTGGGTCGCGGGGTGGGTCCCAGGGTGGGTCCCGGGGTGGGTCCCGGGGTGGGTCCCGGGTGGGTCGCGGGCGGGTCGCGGGGGGGACGACGACAACAACAACAACAACAACAACAACAACAAGCAGAATCCTCACCACGGATCCCCTCTTCAGCCACGCACCCAGGGACGAGAATGACGGCTCAGCCCCCGCACTCTGACTATGCGCGCATACTCGTCTATCAAAAACCATAAGTGCTCAAGCATCCCTTGCAAAAAAAAGACGAAGTGCACCCGCGCGCGTCGTCGCGCGTGCATGCCGAAATCCTTCAAAAACCATGGGTTTCGGAAGGATTTCAAAATCGAGCTCCCAAAAAACCTACAAACCAACTCATTGTTTCGCAACGCTGATTTACTGAAAAAGCTTACGCGCGCGCTGTTGCGAAATCTTAAGAGAACCATGGGTTTTTCAAGATGTTGGTGTTTAAAGTAGTAGTAGTAGTAGTAGTAGTAGTAGTAGTAGTAGTAGTAGTAGTAGTAGTAGTAGTAGTAGTAATAACTATAATATTAATAATAATAATAATATTATTATTAAAACACGACTACCAAACTCGCTTCGCGCGCGCGCGCGTGTCGAATTCGTTCGAGGGCCCTTGCGCGCGTGCCGTCGCGAGAATCCCTTGCAAAGAATGAGACGGAGTGCACGCGCGCGCGTCCTCGCACGCGCATCCGAAATCCTTCAAAAACCTTGGGTGTCGGAAGGATTTCAAAAACGAGTGTCCAAAAAACATACACAAACAGGGTTTCGCAACACGTATTTTCAACAAAAACGAGCGCAAGCGCTCTTGCGTCGTCGTCGTCGCCGTCCCTCCTCCCTCGTCGTCGTCGTTGTCGCCGTCGTCGTCCGTTGCCTTTCCTCGTCGTCGTCGTCGTCATCGTCGCCCTCTTTGGCGTCGCCGTCGTTTCCGTCATCGTTGTCGCCGCGGTCGTCCTTCCTCCTCCCTCGTCGTCGTCGTCGTCCGTCGTCGGCGTCTCGTCGTCGTCTCTCCTATTTCGTCGCCGTCGTCGTCGTCGTATTCCCTCCTCCCTCATCGTTGTCGTCGTCGGCGTCGCCGTCCTTCCTCCTTCGTCGTTCGCGTCGTCGCCGTCCTCCCTCCTCCCTCGTCATTGTCGTCGTCGGCGTCGCCGTCCTCCCTACTTCTTCGTCGTTGTCGCCGTCGTCGTCCTCCATCTTCCCTCGTCGTCATCGTCGTCTTCGCTGGCGACGTCGCCGTCTTCGTCGTCGTCGTCGTCGGCGTCGGCGTCGTCGTCGTCGGCGGCGTCATCGTGGTCGGCGTCGTCGTCGTCGTCGGCGGCGTTGTCATCGTCGTCGGCGTCGGCGTCGTCGTCGTCGGTGTCGTCGTCGTCGTCGTTGTCGTCGTCGTCGAAGTCGTTGGAGACGCCGTCGGTGTCGTCGTAGTCGTTGTCGGCGGCGTCGTCGTCGTCGTTGTCGCTGCCGTCGTCGTCGCCGGTGTCGCTGCCAAGCGCCATTTGGTACCTACCGTCACGGTCTTAAGAGGTCTTGCGACCGAGTTGCGGGTGGGAGGGTTGGATGTTTGCACAAACAGTGGAGAGGACAGCTTCAAGTTGAGCAAATGATTGATTGCACCACCTCGATTGCACCATATAGGTCTCACCACACAGACTGTACCACATATATTCTCCTTTTTAAAAGACTAATAGATTCTACTCCCCCCCCCTGGACTTATCGGCTCCCCCGCGCGTGCTGTAAATCACATATGATTCTGACCACATGTCCATCCTAAATATGAATTCATACCATCCCAGCCAAGCCGGTATCCCCCCTCCAGCGGTTCCCTTGTAAAAAACATTATGCGGTGACATGTATTGTTCTAACATAGCACTTTTTCACGAATCCCTTGCAAAAAACTGGACGAAGTGCACACGCGCGCGTCGTGGCGCGCGCATGCCGAAATCCTTCAAAAACCTTCGGTTCCGGAGAGATTTCAAAATTGAATTTCCCAAAAACATATAAAAAACACATGGTTTCGCAACACTGATTTGCTAAAAAAACTTACGCGCGAGCTCTTGCGAAATCTTAAGAAAACCATAGGTTTTCCAAGATTTTCACAAAATGCTACCAAACGGGCTTCGCGCGCGCGCATGTCGAAATCTGTCGAACGCTCTTGCGCGTGTGCCGTCGCGAGAATCCTCTGCAAAAAATGGGACGAAGTGCAGACGCGCGCGTCGTCGCGGGCGTATGCCGAAATCCTTCAAAAACCTTCGGTTTCGGAAGGATTTCGAAATCGTGCGTCCAAAAAACCTACAAAAACACAAGGTTTCGCAACACGGGTTTTCAACAAAATTGTGCGCGCGCGCTCTTGCGTCGTCGTCGTCGTCGTCCTCCCTCCTCCCTCGTCGTCGTCGTCGTCGTCGTCGCCGTCGTCGTCTTCTGTCTTTCCTCGTCGTCGTTGTCGTCGTCTTGGCGTCGTCGTCGTTTCCGTCGTCGTTGTCGCCGTGGTCGTCCTTCCTCCCTCGTTGTCTTCGTCGGCGTCTCGTCGTTGTCCCTCCTATTTCGTCGTCGTCGTCGTCGTCGTCGTCGTGGTCTTCCCTCCTCCCTCGTCGTTATCCTCCTCCCTCGTCGTCGTCGTCCGTCGTCGGCGTCTCGTCGTCGTCCCTCCTAGTTCGTCGCCGTCGTCGTCGTCTTCGTCGTCGTTGTCATCGTCGTCGTCTTCCCTCATCCCTCGTCGTTGTCGTCGTCGGCGTCGCCGTCCTTCCTCCTTCTTCGTCGTTGGCGTCGTCGCCGTCTTCCCTCCTCCATCGTCGTTGTCGTCGTTGTCGCCGTCGTCGTTTTTTCTCCTCCCTCGTCGTCGTCTCCGTTGGCGACGTCGTCGTCGTCTTCGTCGTCGTCGTCGGCGTCGTTGTCGTCGTCGTCGGTGTCGTCGTCGTCGTTGTCGTCGTCGAAAACATTGGAGACGTCGTCGGTGTCGTCGCAGTCGCTGTCGGCGGCGCCGTCGTCGTCGATGTCGCTGTCGTCGTCGGCATCGGTGTCGTGGCCAAGTGCCATGCAGTACCTACCGTCACGGTCTTGTCTGAAGATGTCTTGCGACCAAGTTGCGGGTGGGAGGGTGGGATGTTTGCACGAGCAGTGGAGAGGACAGCTTCAAGACGGTCAAGATTAATTGCACCACATAGATTGCACAACATGGATTGCACCATATGGATTACACCTCGTCGATCGCACCACAGATATTTCGCACCGCATAGATTGCACCGCATAGGCTGCACCAGATATATTGCACAGCTTCAAGTTGAGCAAGTGATTGATTGCACCACATAGATTGCACAACATAGTTTGCACATTCTATGCTGCACAACATGGATTGCACCGCAGACGTTGCACCACATAGATTACTCCACATACATTGCACAACGTATCAAAGTGAGGGGACCGAACGGTCATTTACTGTCCCTGGGTGCGTGGCTCAAGTAGATTTCCACGGTGCGGATTGTTGTTGCATTGTTGTTGATGTTGTTTGTTGTTGCTTTCGTCCCACTCACGACCCGGCCCGCGACCCACCCGCGGCCCACCCGCAACCCACTCGTGACTCACCCGGGACCCACCCGAGACCCACCCGCGACCCAGCCGCGAACCGCCCGAGACCCACCCGCGACCCAGCTGCGACCCGCCCGCGATCCAGACGCGCTCCAGCCGCGACCCAGCCACGACCCACCCGCGACCCAGCCCGCCACCCATCCGCGACCCGCCCGGAACCCACCTGCGACCCACCCCGCGCCCGCCCCCTCACTCTTATCCGCATCTGCGGGGAGCTACACTAAACAACAAACTGTTTGGGCATCGCTGCCTACCATTTTTTGGAATAAAAATATAGCGAGAATCTTACCAGCTCCCATGAGCGCCTTGCTGACTACTTCCGCCGAGAGGGCGATGCAGCTCGCAAGCGGAAGCTGGCGGTCAAGTCATGGGCAGCTTGCTGCAGACATTCGCATTCGTACAGTATTCACTTCTTGCTTACGCGCGGTGGCCGGTGCCAGGCTTCCAGTTCAGTTCTGTTATTGTTTTTTTCAAGACGTTTAGATGTCTGGGCCGTGGCCTCGTCACGACGCGAGGTCGCCGGGGGGCCGCCGCCGCCGCCGCGTGCCGCAGGCCGCCGCGAGCCTAGGGGCGGCCGCCGCCGCCGCCGCCGCCGCCGCCGCCGCCGTCGTCGCCGCCGCCGCCGCGCCGCCGCGCCGCCGCCGCCGCCGCGTCGTCGTCGTGTCGTCGTCGTCGTCGTCGTCGTCGTCGTCGTCGTCGTCGTCGTCGTCGTCGTCGTCGTCGTCGTCGTCGTCGTCGTCGTCGTCAGGCGGGCGCCGTAAGCCGCCGCGAGCCGAGGGGCGGCCACCGCCGCGCCCTCGCCGCCGAGGGCGCCCGCCGAGCTGAGGCCCGGGCGGGCCGTTGCCGAGGAGGGCCACCGCCGCAGCCGACGAGGCGATCCTCCACCCGCGGGGGCCCGGGGCGGGTTCGAGGGGGGAATTGGGTTCGAGGTTCGAGGGGTTCGGGGGTCCTCCTCCTCCTCCTCCTCCTCCTCCTCCTCCTCTCCTCCTCTCTCCTCCTCCTCTCCTCCTCCCTCCTCCCTCCTCCTCCCCTCCCCTCCTCCTCCTCCTCCTCCTCCCTCCTCCTCCTGCTCCTCCCTGCTGCTCCTCCTGCTCCTGCTCCTCCTCTCCTCCTCCTCTCCTCCTCCTCCTCCTGCTCCTCCTCCTGCTCCTCCTGCTCCTGCTCCTGCTGCTCCTGCTGCCTCTGCTGCTCCTGCTGCTCCTGGTCCTGCTCCTGCCTCCTCCTCCTCCTCCTCCTCCTCCTCCTCCTCCTCTCCTCCTCCTCCTCCTCCTCCTCCTCCTCCTCCTCCTCTCATCATCATCATCATCATCATCATCATCATCATCATCATCCATCATCATCATCATCATCATCATCATCATCATCATCATCATCCAATTTCTCCTCCTCCTCCAGTTTCTCCTCCTCCTCCTCCTCCTTCTCCTCCTCCCCCTCCAGTTTCTCCTCCTCCTCCTCCTGATCGGTTGCTCGCCCGCTCCTCACGATCGTAGGCCCATGGGGGGCAACGTCAGGGGGGGCGTAGGCTTGAGGTTAGATGTTTTCGGGTCTCTGCGTCGGTTTTCTGAGCATCGTCTGACAGACCCCTATCCCCATGGGCGTGGTCTTGGCCCCACTGGCCGATCTGGCCCCCTAAAAGATGGGGATGCAGGCCGTTTCCTTCGGGCTTCGAGGAGTATGCCGCCCCAACAGGGGTGGTGGGATGGAGGAACCCAAAAAAGAACCCCACAACCCTTTGAGAGGGGACCCAAGGGGGGAGGGTCAAGAACAGCAGGGATAGGGGGTCTCTTCTGGATGGGAATGGGGATGTGGCTCTGGATGGGGATGGGCATGGGGACCTGGATGGGGGTGGGCATCTGGATGCCCATGGGGACGGGGGCCGGTTGCGCGAGATGCTGCTTCCCGGCGGCTCTCCGCCGGCCTCAGAGGGGCGCTCTCCAGCGGCCGAGAGGGGCGTTCCAGGGGTGCCCCTCGCACGCACACACACACACACACACACACACACACACACACACACACACACACACACACACGTACGTGTATATATATATATATATACATATATATATATATACAAGACTGCAGTGGCGCTTCGCGCCATGCACCTTGGTCCTTGAAGTTTGGTATGCAGGCGGAATAGCAGGAAAGTCAAGCCGACAATTTAGCGATAACTCCTGGTTGCCTTTTCCGGCATCGCCGCTATAATAGTGTTATTCGTTATCCTTCCTCCATGTTTCTTGTTTCCTTTTTTTCGCCGTGCCCTGCGCGTTCTCCCCATCCTCCTCAGCTCTTTTTTGCGGAGGCTCCTCCTTGGAGAGCCTCTGGGGGCCTCACAAAAGTTGTTTCAGGCTTTCTCAAGGCCTTCTGGAGGCCTCCTGGGCGTATTTTGGGGCCTCTGGGGACTTCCTCGGGCCACCCTGCCTCCAACCGCGGTCTCCCTGAACGACCGGGTCACGACGATTTGGAATGCTTCGGAGGGTGTCTTGGGGCCATCTTGGGCCGCCATGGGGATCTCTGAGGGCCATCTTGGACCCGTGTTGTGCCGTTTTGGGGCTATCTTGGACTGCCTGGAAGCTCTTTCCGATGGTTGTGGGGCGATGTTGGAGCCTCCCAGGCGGCTTCGGGCACCCAGAAGACCGCCGTCCTGGAGCGTCGGGAAGCCGAAAAGAGGAGAACCCCAAAATTCAGCAAAAACCAACAGAAAATCAAAGATTTGTGCCTCTTGGGGCCTTCTTGGGAGTGCTCTTGGAAGCCTCTTTGGGGCCGTCCTGGAGGCCTTTTGGGCCATCCTAGGTGTGCTGGGAAGGCTTGGCAAAACACCCTGCGAGGCCAGGGGGGCCGCTTCGAGGCCCGTCTGCAGGGTCCCAGGGGGGGGAGGAGGAGGAGGAGGAGGAGGAGGAGGAGGAGGAGGAGGAGGAGGAGGAGGAGGAGGAGGAGGAGGAGGAGGAGGAGGAAGAGAAGGAGGACGAAGACGACGACGACGGCGACGACGACGAAGACACCATCCGCTCAGGCTCCCTGAAGCACCGGAACACAACGCCACACCCAGAAGGAGGCGACGACGGTGAAGACACCGTTGACGACGATATTCCTGTTCCTCCTCCCCCCATCCGCCTCTCCATCGCTGGGACGACGACGACGACGACGACGACGACGACGACGACGACGACGACGACGACGACGACGACGACGACGACGACGACACGACGGCGGCGGCGGCGCCAGCGACGCCGACTCTTGGCTGAGGCGGACCCCTAATCACCGCACACCCACAGGGGGGACCCCACACCACTCCCACAGGGGGGGGGCCACCACGCCACGCCCACGCCCACAGGGGGGGGGAGCATCGCGCGGGGGGGGGGGAAGGGGGGCCGATGGCATTAGCATTGGGGGGGGGGCCCAAACCCTCGACCATATATGGTGCCACTGGCTGCACAGCATGGAGCAGGAGCTCTGCCGCCAGTTCGACATAGTTGGCGGCGCCAAGTCCAAGCACGTGGGCAGGGCGGACGGCTTCAGCCGTCGGGCTGTTCCCCTGGCTGAGTCCATGGCCAAGGCCGACACCTCCGGACCGGGCATGGCCATGCGCACTTGGCGGGCTCCATCCGCCACCATCTCCAGGGTGCCGCGGCTTCGGGATGCCGACCAGGACTCTCGCGCTGATCGCGAAGAGGCGCGTGATTGCTCGCTCGAGGGCATGGGTGTCGGCCTTGCGGACTACTCGTCGCCCTGGACGGGGCCAACCTCGAGCTCTCCCTCGCCTGCTGCGTCGACCACGTCCAGCCCGGGCGCAACGGCGCCGCCGTCTGCCGTTGGCCGCGTGGGAGAGCCCCGCGGGAGCCCCACGGGAGCCCCGCGGGAGCCCCGAGCCCACGGGAGCCCCACGGGAGCCCCACGAGAGCCCCACGAGAGCCCCGCGGGCGCCCCACGGCTGTGAAGGCAAGCGCTTCGAGTAGACAGGAATCGCTTGCTGTTTTTTCCCTGCGCGTCTGGTCTGCAAAACAACAAAGACAGAACTCTCGGTAACACGTGCTGCTTGGTGCGCGGTGATGGCGCAGCGTGTGCTTCCGCTCCGGCCGCTGCTGCTACGCCGCTGGTGCCGGCTGCCGGCTGGCTACGTGAGCTGCTGGATGAGCTGGACCACCTCGACTTCTCCTCGGTCCAGGGCGTCGTTACGCTGGGGGTGGACTACCACAGCCTTCGTTCGGTGATCGAGCGAGGGGGCGAGGACTTGGCCAGTCTTGCCACCAACGTCTCCAACTTGGCCAGGGAAGCCTCAGCGGCAGCGGCGAAGGAGCAGTTCCAGGAGTGGCGCGAGTGGGCCCAGGGTGCCCTGATATGCTCCATCCTGCGGGTCTGGGGCAAGATCAGGAAGGACATGGCCAGAGCCTGGGAGGATGCTCATGATAGTTGCGTTTTGGGGGGCACTTGGGATCGCGAGTGCGACCGTGCTGGATGGGCGCATCAAGCGTTTGTCCACTGTGCACGGGCAGTGGGTACGCAGCGTTCTACCTTTAGCACCGATCTCGCCAAGTTCTATGAGAGGGTGTGCCACTCGATCTTGTTCGACGAAGGGGTGGTGGTAGGGTTTTCTGCGAAGCTCGTGCGTGCGGCGTGCGGGCTATATGCCAGACCAAGGGCGATCAGCTTCTTGGGCGAGGTCTGGTAGTCCTTCAGCGCGTCGGGAACTGTCCTCGCCAGCTGCTCGCTGGCCACGTCGCTCGCCAGAGTTCTGTTGTACAGGTTGTTGACAAAGATGTCTGGAGAGCACCCCTCTGTCATGCTTCGCAACGAAATTAACGACATCAGTGCGCAGTCTCTCGGCACCAGCCTCCACGTGGTCACGGAGCTCGGCGCCGCCGGAAACAAGCTGATCGCTTGCCTGCGTGGCCTCCGGCTCGTGCTATCCGAAAAAATACACGTTTTGGGCCAGCTCTCGCAATGTTGCTCAGGGGCTCCAGGGACTCTGGAAGGCTGCATTCGCGAGGAAGACCACTGTCAGGAACCTGGGAACCGACTGGCAGGTGTGTAGCACCAGGCTGGCTCCGGTTGTTTCCAAGAGGGTTCAAATTTGTCTCGCTAGGTCGTCCAGGCTCCAGTCTCTTAGGAGAGCGGGGGCGTTTGTAGGGCATGTGCAGAGAGCGGGTCCTCATGCTTTTGCGTTGTGGGGTTGTGCTGTGAGAGGTCCTCCGTGGTCGCGGTTGAAAAGGATCAGTGCTCAGGCCAAACTCTCCCTGGCTCCCAGGAAGAAAGGGGCCTCCACGGGGTTAAAGCTGCGCTCCTTTAAGCAAGGGAGGCGCATGGACCCCGTGCCCCTCTACTTTAAACAAGCTTTGTTTGAGCGGTCTCGGGCGGTCTGGGATGGATTTCCTAAGATCTCGATTCTCCAAACCGTTTTTCAGGATGAGGTGCGAACGCTGTCCAGCACCAGTCGCCCTTGGAGTCGTGCTACGTCGCTGGCTCATGTTTTCGTTATCGCCTGTGGGGACCTGGGCTGAGCAGCGCAATCGGCACGCCTCATTACCTTGGCGTCGGGAGAACAGATCGATCTGTTGCGTATCTCACCTGCTGCCGTCGCTGCTCTCGCCGACCGCGCCGCCAGGGAGATGTCGGATTTCCGTGCCCTGGAGACTCGTGCTGGATCCGATTCTTGGTGTCGGCCCGTCTTCAGGCAGCCTGTGGACATGCTGCTCTCGCGCAAGACCGCCAGCTGGGGCAGGTCCCAGCAGAATTCGTTTCGTGCAGCTGTGTCTGGCACTTGCTGGCCTTAGGATCGGCTTTTCAGGCACGGATTTGTGCAGTCAAACCTTTGTACCCTGTGCAGGTGTGCTCCGGGTACTGTCTTCCATCCCAGGTTTCAATGTGATGCGTGGTATTCTGACAGGTTTCACTCCCTTTCCGACGAAGCCCTGGCCGCTGCCAGGAGGGTAAGAGCGTTCGGGGGGTCGGGGGAATTCTTCGCCTCAGGCCTCTTCCCAAGCCCCCGCGAGCTGGTGCCTCCACCGCTCTCGTCGGAGAATTGTGCAGTGCTTTGGATTCGCAGGCCAGCAGATGGTCTGCTTCGGGGCCGGCAGTTCACCGATGGTGCGGCCCTCTTCCCCTCGGATCCCCTCCTCCGTAGAGCCGGTTGATCCATTGTGATGGTGTATGATTCGGAATCGATATTGGCTGCTGCTTTCGGCCCCGTCCCGTGCGATGTTGCACCTCTTCAGCTGTCTGCTGATGGGGAGGACTATGCCTTCTTCATGCTTTGTTCGCTGGCCGACACCCTTGATATAGAAGGGGTCTGCGCGGACTGTGCCGGCACCATCGCGGCTACTCGGTCGAGGGTTCGTTCGACGTCAGCCAAGAATTTGCAGGCACATCTTTGGTGTTATTTTCATTCCGTCTTTTGAGTCTGGCCTGCCAGTTCATAAGACGAAAGCCCACACAAGTGAGGCTGATGTGGCCAGGGGGGTGACGACGCGGTGGGAGAGGAAAGCTAACGGCATCGCGGATACCTTGGCCAAGCGGGGAGCGGCTCAGCACCCCTCGGTGGCCGAGGCCGCCTGCGAGGTCGCTGGTCGGAGCGGCTGAGCACCCCTCGGTGGCCGAGGCCGCCCGCGAGGTCGCTGGTCTCCGCCTTCTTGCCCGGGAGGTCGGGCAGTGGATTGGGAGGCAGGGGGTCTTGACGGCCGAGCGGGGCTGGCGGGACGCGGAGGGCCTGCCCGAGAGAAAGGCCCCCCTTGGCCCTCGGAGAGCGGCCCCCCCGCACCCCCGAGGCCCGTCCCAGCCCCTTTGCCGTCAGGTTTCGAGCCGTGCTCTCCGGCGCTGCGGCTCAAAGTGCGTACTTCTCCCACTCCTGGGGCGGGCACGCTCGCATCGCGCGTTTGTACGATCGCCCGCAACTCTGCGTGCGTTCTCCCGTCTCCGCGGCGGGACTGCTTCAAATCGATGGCGGAAGCCGTGCTCTCGGCTGTGGCGGCGGGGCCCTCCGACCCTGGGCTCGCCAGACTGGCCCGGCTGGCTGAGCACAGCCGTCGTGTGCCTGCACCGTGTCTGGTGCCGAGGGTGTCCTCTGCCCTGGCTGCCCCGAGGATGACTTGCTGTGTGTCGTGTGGTGCTCACGCGTGGGGGGGGGGTCAAAGCGGGCCCCCACGCCGAGGGGGCGCTGCACGGCTCGGGAGGGGAAACGAAAGGAGGAGGAGGAGGAGGAGGAAGCACACGGGCAGGCGGCTGGCAAGGGGCTCGGGCAGCGGAGGACCCGCGGACTTGCTCGAGGCTCTGTATCCTAGGCGGCTCGCCCGGGGTGTAGTGGGCGGAGCCCCGGGGACCTTAAGCGCCCGGCGCCGCCTTCGGGCCTTGTGGACCTCGCTCGGGCGATCCTGGGCCGCCCTCGGGCTCCTGCTGTTGCTTCTTCCAGGTGTGTGTGTGTGTGTGTGTGTGTGTGTGTGTGTGTGCGTGTGCGTGTGTGTGCGTGTGTGTGTGTGTGTGTGTGTGTGTGTGTGTGTGTGTGTGTGTGTGTGTGTGTGTGTGTGTGTGTGTGTGTGTGTGTGTGTGTGTGTGTGTGTGTGTGTGTGTGTGTGTGTGTGTGTGTGTGTGTGTGTGTGTGTGTGTGTGTGTGTGTGTGTGTGTGTGTGTGTGTGTGTGTGTGTGTGTGTGTGTGTGTGTGTGTGTGTGTGTGTGTGTGTTTGGTGCTTTGGTGCGTCGGCGGCCTGGGGCGTCTGCACCTCGCCAGGCCCGTGCGCTGGGCCCTCGAGCGACGTCCGTCGCCTGCCGAGCCCGAAAGGAGCCGAGCCGCGGGCAGCGCCCCCGCGCGCTCCCCAGGGCGGCGGCGCCGTGGCCCTCTCGAGGCCGCGCCCCACCCTAGGCCCCTCAGCCTGCTGCCAAGGGGGGCCGAAACGCAGCGAGAAACGCGCCGCGCCCAGGCCACCCGCAACGCGGGGAAGCAGGCCCGAGCGCCCCGAGCGGGGCGGCAGCCCCGCCCAGGCCCCTCAGCTCACGGATAACACCGCGCCAAGGGGGGCCGCACGCACTGAGACCAGACAGATCATTGAACGAGCACAACGGCCTCAACTCAGATCCCTTCCAGTCTTTGGGTCCTGGCCGCGCTGGATGCGGCGAATGCGCCTGAGGCGCTCCTTGTCGCCTGGGTCGCGCGGGTCCAGCCGCCTGCACGGCCCGCCGAGGTTCCTGGCCACCGAGCTGTAGTAGGAACCGCACACGACGCAGACCACGAAGTTGCCAATGATCTCGACCGTATGTGGCCGAGGCTCCGATGAAGCGGCTCTGGCCGTCGCAGGCAGCGCCTGGCCACTCCTGGCGGGCTGGGCAGAGGCCGCCCGCCCGCGCGCACCCCGCTCTGGCTCCGAGGCCGCCGCAGCCCCAGCCGAGGGCGGCGGGGACCCCGCCAGCGGTGCCAGGCCGCCCTGGCCAGAGCCCGCCGCCGCCGCCGAGGATGCTGAGGAACCAGTCCTTGGGGCCTTACCACCGTGTTTCAGGCTGCCCTGGCCAGCACGAGCTTGGTGTGCCGCCAAGGGGGCGGAGCACACTGCGGCCGCTGCCTGGGTGGCAGCCTTGCCGTCCACGTCCAGGGAGCTGGCCAACTCGCCCTGATCAGCTCCAGGCTCGCCAGCGGGTTGAGCAGCAGGCGGCACCGTGGGAACAGGAGCTGCCCCAGCGCCAGCCGTAGCACCGTCGTCCACGTCCTGGGAACAGGTGGCTGCCGCACTGCGGATCCGCAAAACACCCTCCCGCCTCGCCCCTCCCGCTGGAGCTCCCTCCTCCTGTGGCTGGAGTGCCCTGGGGGCGAGGTCGGGATTGGGCGGCGACTCGCGCTCTGACGCCTGGGTGCCTGTGGCCTGCGTGGCCTTGCCGTCTGCCTGCCTCCACCACCTCGAGGTCGCTGTGCACGCTGAGGGCCGCGAACTCGTCGGTATCGTCGTAGCCATGGGCGTCCTCGGCGGCGCGGCCTGCCGCATCACCTCCTTGGTCGTCATCCGAGGAGAGGGGCTCGAAGACCCACTGGTGCCAGGAGGCCGTCTCAGGCGGGGCACGATCTTCAAGAAGATCCCTGAAACGCTCCCTGACCTGGTTCAACACATCGAAGTGATGCCGAAGCAGCCGACGGCGCTGCCTGGCTGTCAAACCCGAGTCAGACCGTACCCTGGCGAACTGAGCCTGACGGGCTGGTTCGGCACGCGTCCAAGAGGTGGCGCATAGGTCGTCGACGACCTGCCCGAGAGTGCGGCCAGGGTTGCTACGTAGAAGATGCTCTCGAACTGGTGCCCACGCCGCCGAGCTGAGAAACCTTTCAAGATATTCCGAACACCACGTACGGTAGTCCCACTCGTTGGTGAAGCCTGCCACGTCGAAACGATCGATCCAGAAAGACGCCCAGATGATGGCATCGTCCATGATGGAACGGACATGTTGCTGTTCGGGCGTGATGTGTGGCTGGCTTGGCGGGGTTCCCATGCACACAGGACCGCCAGGTATCCGCTCCACCCTGCCAAGAGCCGCGCGGGCTGCTGCGACAGGAGCCCACAGCGGGTCGGGGCCCAGCTGGGAGGCAGGCGCAGGGTCGGGCTCTACTCGAGGCTCACCCTGATCTCCATGGTCTGCTCGCTGTCGCACAGGCCGGGCGGCGGCGCCTGCCGCCACGAGAAGAGGCACCGCCACACTGCCTCTCTTGGCCGCACTCTTGACTAACTTGCCCTGGAGCCCTTGGAGACGACCACGGCACTCCTGCAACTGAAAGGCCGCGAGGCGAGCGCGGGCAACCTTGCCGCAGTTGGTGCACTTGGAATAGCCGCGGCACACTTCCAGAACGTGCGGGTGCCTGGGACCAGCCTGGGGTCGTGCAGCCTGAGGAATGTTGGCCTCTTGGCCCTGCTGTCGTTTGGGCCTAGGCTCCGCCAACTTGACCCCGTCGAGGAGGACCCTGAAGTGCCCGATGTACTCGAGCACGCGCTTGGTGGCCTTGAGCTCCTGCTTGACCTGCAACGTGGCCCACTCTGGCGGCGCGCTGAGGTCTGCTCCTTGCTTGGCCCATTCGTCGGCTAAGTCATTGTGCCTCATGTGAATCTGGACCTCCTCTGGCAGCTCTAGGCGTTTGGCCTGCGATATGTGCGAGGCGACTTTGATGACCGACAACTCTCTGCCAGGAAGGATGTCCATGTCATCCAGGCGATCCCAGATCTCGAGCCAGACGTGCGCATAGGGCCTGGCCGCTGAACAACACCATGCCCTGCCACGAGCCAAGCCTTGGACCACCTGAGCATTGTCAATGATGATGGCCGTGATGAAGACCGAATGCCTGAGGGCGTGGAGGAGACCCCACAACTCTGCCAGGACCGAGCTGGGGTCGGGAAAGGGCAGTGGGCCGTACAGGCCCTGCACCACGTCGTCGGCCTCCGCTGTGCACTGCAAAGCCGCCCAGCCGCCGTGCCTGAGGTCATCCAAGCCTTTGACTGATCCGTCCGAAACCAGCACATCGGTGAGCTCGGGGGCCGCGCCATTGACGATCCAATGGGTGCGCTGCGACGGTAGACTCCAAGCCAAGCCGTAACATGGGGTTCGCCGCAAACCCCGCTCCCACAACCATCTTGAGGCTTCCGACGAGGAGGCCGACACGCCCAGGTGGCCGACGTCTCTGAAGGTAGGTGACGCGTCGTGGGCCGTCAGCTGCTCCCTCACCGTAGCACACGTCGGGCTGCCGCACCGCCAGTAATAGTGCTGGTGGGTGCCGAAACAGGTCGTGTCGTCGCAAAGCTGGCAATGCGGAGTGTCCGCCTGGCCCGAAGAGAAAAGGGCCTCCTGCGAAGGGAAACCGCCCAACACCGCCTTCTTGACCGCGTCGGCATGGTGTTGCAGCCACCCGTCCTGCTTGCGCCGCTTGACCAACTGCCTCGCTGGGGTGAGCCACGGCGCTGGCAGGAGCGCAGCCCGCTCGGGCTGAGCCGCCGCCCACTGGCACAGGGCTCTGGAACGGGCGGCCAAAAGCACGGCGGCCTCGACCGACTTGGGGCAAATCTGCAGTAGATCAAGATGGACGTCCCCTCCTTGGAGCACCCCGCCACGTGGAGGCAAGACAATCTCGAAGGCTGACGGCATGCTCCAACCATGGGCTCGAACTGTGACTGAGGTGGCCCCCGCTGGGCCGCGCACCACTGACCACAACTCCTGAGCGTCGGCGTCCATGTACAGCGCGAGCTGTTGCTGCACTCGGGCCCATGCTGTGGCCTGCGCACGCCGCCCCTCTGGGTGGTCCCAAGCTTCCCTCGCCCAAGCCAGCAGCGGTGCCAGAACGAGGGTGTCGGCGCAACTGGGGTCGAGGCCGTCGTGCAAGACTCGGGAGGTAAAAGCTGTGGCGCCCCTGCGGACGGCCCGATCCTTCTGCTGGATGAAACGCACGATGGGCCTGGGCGTGCCGCGGACACGGGCGCCGTAGGCGACCGAGGCTCCGAGGCCCTGCCGCACGACCATCTTGAGCTTGCCCCCGCGTGCACGAGGAAGGCCGCGGATCTTAGGCCAACGCTGCTTGGCTATCTTGAGCCGCGCGTGTCTGACTGGGGCTGACTGGTTCTCTGTCTTGACGCTGGGACCGTAGTCGATGCCGAGCCACCGCTCGGAGGTGCTGGGCGGTGCTCCCAGGGCGGCCATGGCCTGCGTCAAGCCTGAAGACGGAGTGGCCGTTTGCAGGAAAGAGCACTTGCCTCTCGCCCCGTCCCGCGCTCGGGCTACCTCCAGGCCCAAGAAGGACTCCAACATCCAAAACAGCAAGCGCGTGGCCTGCGGCAGCATGTGCAAGACGCGCGCCTCGGTGGACATGACCCGCAAGGCGATGTCATCAACGTACAAGTAGATCGTGAGGCGGAAAACCCCCAGCAGGTCGTCTAAGCACAGCGTGAGGTAGAACCTCAGGAAGGTGGGCGCGAAACGGCTGCCCGCTGGGAGCGCTGTGGAGGACAGGACCTCCGCCGAGCAGGCCTCCCCGAGACGAATGACACGGCCAAAGGCGAAACTTTCCAGGGCGAGCGCGACCACCTCCAGCGGGCCGCCCCACCAAGCTGCTAGCCACCACATACGCTCATGCGGAACCTTCTCATAACACTTGGCGAGGTCCGCCAGCATCGTGGCCGCACGTATGCCTGTGCCCAACACGAGCTCGTCGTCCAACAAAGCTTTCCACAGCGCACGCTCCGATGATTGGCCCGCCGCCGTGTAGTCGTAGCTCCTGGGGTGCGCCGCCAACCAGCTCCTGATGGTGGGCAGCTGCCACGCCTCCCAGATTCGGCAAGGGCCAGGTAGAAGAATGATGGGTCGGCCCCCTCCATCGAGCTTCCCGATGATGAAAACGAGCAGGAGGTGGACCTGGGACGGCCACCGCCCCAGTTGTTGGCACCAGGCCAGCAATGACGCGAGCACCGAGAGCGTGCCGTCCGTGAGGTAGGCCCAAAGCTTGGGTTGCCATCCGTCCACGCCAATCCCCGTCTTGGCCCTGAAACGCTGGGCCAAACCGCGCAGGTGGTGAGGGCTGGGCGGCGTGACGGCGACTTGCTGGAGGCCCCTCCACGGCTTGGGGAAACCTGAGCCAGTGGTCCAGACCTTCGACCAGTCGTGCAACTCCTGGTCCACGGCGGCCTGAGGCGCCGCTGGGAGCAGCTTCTTGGAGATGCTGCCCTTGGGAGCCTGCCAAGCCTGGCGCCACTTGGTGACCCTGTGGAGGAGCCCCTGCGAGCCTGGGAAGTCGTCCTCCAACCGCTGCTTGAAGGAATCTCGTCGTTCCTTGCCGATCTGCCACTCCAAGTACGAGGCATACTGACTGCAGCTGAGGCGCCAAGCCGAGAGCTCCTGCAAGTCTTCATAGCCGCGGTCCCGAGACGTGAAAACCTCGAAGAACTCCTGCAGCTCAGCCACGCCTTCTAACAGCATGTGGTGCCTGAAGCGGTCACGCAACTTGCGGATGGAGGCGTGCCGCTGCTGGTGCAACGTGGTGAGGACCAGGTCGGAAGCGCCCGTGTAGCTGAAAAGCTTTACTTCAATGATGCCCAGCCAAGCCAACTCGTTGGCAAACCACCTCCAACGCTTGGCCTCCCCGTACGAAGCGATGGCCTCGGTGTGGGTCGGGAGCAACGGGCACTTCCTGAAGCGCGGTGGTCCCCCACGCCCTCGGCATTGATCGGCTTGCCGACTGCTGGGGTCCAAACCCACCTTCTGGATCAGCTCCTCCTCGGCGGCGTGGCAGAAAGCCTCCCAGGTGTCGTCCAGGAGCTCCTGGGTAGGCACCGCATCGGGGTCGAAACCTGCAGGCACGTCTGGGCACGAGAGATCGAAGTGCCTCGGCTTGACTCCTGGGATCGGGAACTTGTGGGGTCGGATGAGCTTGGTGTAGGTAAAGGCCGACCAAGGCTGCTGAAACTCGACCCATGTGGCTCTATGAGGGTGGTAGACCGCGTCGTCGTCAATGCGGGCTGGGGAAATATTGGCAGCCAAACTGGAGTGCATCCAGAAATAATCGATCACGCGCTCACCGTGCGGGGAGCGGTTGGTGCCCCCTTCCCCTTGCCACGCTACGACGCGGCCTCTGAGCTGGTTGTTCCACGGCGAACGCTCCAAAGCGCCAGGTAGATTCTCCCAGTCCGCGATGACGATCCAGGGCAGCTGGAGCTGGACTGCCCACCCCGTGATAACTGACAGGGGAGCTGAATTGCCCACAGACGCCAACTTCTGACCAGTGAAGCAATACGCACAGAAAACCAATAACTTGCCGATGCCCTTGGCCTCGAGGGTGGCCATCAGGAGCCTGCCTGCACAACCTGGGGGAGATATGTCCCAGTGTCGCTGTCCAGATGCAAGAGTGACGCCGACGCAGGCATGTATCGCCAGCAAGACGCCCGCCGAGGCCCCTCCATTCGGGCCGTCCGTCGCTGGCGTGAGCAGGGCCCTCCAGCCCAAGGGCGGCAGGGCCCGTGCGCTCTCTTCGGCCCATAAACGCCGCTTGCCGTGCGCCTGGAAACCGATGATCGGAATCTTGCCCTCGGTGAGCTGCTGGTGTGCCGCGCCGTGGAGGTAGCCCACAACGTTGCCCCAGCTGAGGCTGGCATTGACGCTGTGGAAGGTGAAGCGCCTGTGGCTCCGCTGTCGACGCTTGCCTCTGCGGGCTCCTGCTGCTGAGGGTCGATACTTGGCGACGTCGCACTGGGGCTTTGCCGAAGTCCCGCTGCAGGTGGACTGGCCGCCAACACTGCCGACACTGACGTCCCCGCCCTCGGTAGGGTGTGCCACAGTCTCATGGGCCATCTCGATGATGTTAGGCTGCCCAGGGCCGCAGTGGCTTTCCCCAGATGAGACAGCTGAGCCTGCAGAAACAAAAACTGACGTAAGCAACGCCTGACTGCCTCCGTGGGCAGAGCCACCAACACCTGCTGTAACAACTGGGTCCGAGAAACCACCATCTGACGTAAATTGCGCATGAGGGCCTCCAGCGGCCAAGAAAGGCCCGCCTGTGGGAGCAGCAAAGCCCGAGCAACCACCAACTGGCGTAAGCTGCTCCTGAGTGCCTCCAACGGCGACAGAGAAACCATCTACAGTTGAGGCATCTGCGCCAGAGGGGCCACGGCCTGACGTAAGTTGCACCTGGGTGCCTCCAGCGGCCAAGAAACCACCATCCGTGGAAACTGTAGAGCCCGAAACACCACTGACTGAAATAAGCTGCGCCTGGGTGCCACCATCGGCGGCCGAGAGACCATCGCCCGTTGAAACAGCTGAGCCAGAGAAACCACCACCTGACGTAAGCTGATCTGGGCTGCCTCGGACGGCAGAGAGACCACCAGCTGAAATACATGGGGCAGCTCCTCGGTGCTCGTCCGTGAGGTTGCACGCGGCTGGGGTGGGAGTGGGCTCGGTGCATTCAACGGGCGAGGCAGAGCAACACAGCGGCTCCTCCGAGGTCCCAGTCGAGGTGGATGGGCCGAGGTCGGCCTCCAGCACCTTCGCGGCGCACAACTCCAGCAGTGGATGCGGTCGTCGAAGTAGACGGTGGGGGCCTGCGTTCCCGACGTCGCCTGGGACTGGCGGTCGAACCACCGCTCCGCGGCTGACTGGGTGCGGTCCTGCTGAGCCGCCTCACGCTCGAAAGCATCCTGATTAGCCACTTGCAGATGCTCCAACCACTGCCGCTGGAGGCGCCTGGCATCCCCTCCACGGTTCCAGGCTTCGTCACCCAACTCCCGTGCAATCCTCATGCGCTCGGCAATTCGGGATCCGCTGCCCGTGGTGGCTGCCAGGTCGTCCAGCATGGCTGTGTACTCCCCAGAGCCCAGCTGGTGGAAGATGTACGGCACGCAGTAGGAGTCCCAGTGCCTGCGGTCCTGAGCCGTGGTCCCCAGCGACGGGGTAGGGCGCCAGTGCCGAGCCATGCGGCGCATACGCGTGGCCAGGATGGCCCGCTCCCGCCTGCCCAGGCGGACGAGTCTGGGCTCTCGTGGCTTGGCCTCTGGCGGCGCATCAGGTCCCCAGGACTGGGCCTTACGCATCTGCGTCCCCAGCTGGAACGGCGGCTGCTGCTTCCAAGTCCCGCCTGAGCTGAGCCAACCTGGCTGCGCCATCGGGGCCGCGGAGGCTGGGTGGCTCTGGAGGGTGAGCAACAGGAGGCCGAGCAGGGGCCTCAGGCTGCCCAGGGGTGGGGGCCTGGGCTGGGGCCGCGGCGGCCGCTGGGGCCTCCGCGGGGCCTGCTGCCGCAGGGCCTGCGGCTGGCGCCTGGGCTGGCGTCTGGTCTGCTGCTCCTGCCGCCTCGGTGCGAGGCCGCTTGCGCCTGGCCAGCAGCTGCTGGTGCTTGGCGTCGATCTCGCTGCGCCTCTGCTCCAGCTGCGTCTTGGCCTCACCGAAGGTGGTGCGCACGTGCTGCTTGACTTGCTCGACGAAGCCTTCCAGGGACTTGTTGAACTCCTCGCGCTCCGTGTCGGTGATGTCCAGGTCGGGGTCGTCCAGCCTGAAGGCGTCGCCTGCCTCGACCTGGAAGTCTTCCGCCAAAAGCGCCGTGACGTTGAGGCCCACGGCAGGCTGAGTCTTGGCGCCAGGCTCCTGCGCCTCCTGCGCCTGCACCTGGACGCCCTTGGGCGCTGCTGCCTTGTAGGCCTCCTCCACCTCCACGTTGCACGCCAGGACGAGCTCACCAGCACGCACCTCCTCCTCGCGGCAGGCCTGGAGCCACTGCTCGGCGTCGTGGACCTGCTGGGACTTGGAGAGGAAGGCGGCTTGAGCCCGCCGCTGCTTGGCCTGGGCGCGGTTGAGGGCCACATCTGGCAACACCGTGGCCGCAACGGGCGGTGGTGCGACTGCCATCTTGATGGCCTCGAGCTGCCGGCCGTGCTCGGGATGCCTGGCCGCCAACGCCGCGAGGCACTCTGCATCCGACGGCGGGGCGGGCTGCGGTGGCGGTGCCTCGTACCCGAACCAGTCGTCAGAGTGCCGCACCCACGGCTCGCGCACGAATGGCCACGCCGATGCCCGTAGCTGCGGAGGCTTGTCCACTGCGGCAGGCTTGAGCGGCTTCTTGCAGTTGTAGCACTCCACCCTGGCCTTGAAGTTCCACTTGTACGAGCAGTTCGCACAGCGGACGTAGTCCAGGGGGTTGGCTCCGCTCGCGTTGGTCTTGCCTGCCTTGCCAATTCCTTTGCTCTTGCCCTTGCCGCCGCCGCCCTTGGCCCGCGGCTCAGACCTGGCCCTCTGCGAGGCACTGGACATGGCGAGTGGGCAGCGCACAGCCTACCCCCTGCCAACACACGAAACAAAACTGTCGGGCGGAGAAGCCCTGGCATTGGCCGCGGACTAGCGGTATCCACTCGTTCCCCTGTGGAACAAATCATCTTGAGCCAAAATGGCTACGTGGTGTGTGTGTGTGTGTGTGTGTGTGTGTGTGTGTGTGTGTGTGTGTGTGTGTGTGTGTGTGTGTGTGTGTGTGTGTGTGTGTGTGTGTGTGTGTGTGTGTGTGTGTGTGTGTGTGTGTGTGTGTGTGTGTGTGTGTGTGTGTGTTTTGGTGCTTTGGTGCGTCGGCGGCCTGGGGCGTCTGCACCTCGCCAGGCCCGTGCGCTGGGCCCTCGAGCGACGTCCGTCGCCTGCCGAGCCCGAAAGGAGCCGAGCCGCGGGCAGCGCCCCCGCGCGCTCCCCAGGGCGGCGGCGCCGTGGCCCTCTCGAGGCCGCGCCCCACCCTAGGCCCCTCAGCCTGCTGCCAAAGGGGGCCGAAACGCAGCGAGAAACGCGCCGCGCCCAGGCCACCCGCAACGCGGGGAAGCAGGCCCGAGCGCCCCGAGCGGGGCGGCAGCCCCGCCCAGGCCCCTCAGCTCACGGATAACACCGCGCCAAGGGGGGCCGCACGCACTGAGACCAGACAGATCATTGAACGAGCACAACGGCCTCAACTCAGATCCCTTCCAGTCTTTGGGTCCTGGCCGCGCTGGATGCGGCGAATGCGCCTGAGGCGCTCCTTGTCGCCTGGGTCGCGCGGGTCCAGCCGCCTGCACGGCCCGCCGAGGTTCCTGGCCACCGAGCTGCAGTAGGAACCGCACACGACGCAGACCACGAAGTTGCCAATGATCTCGACCGTATGTGGCCGAGGCTCCGATGAAGCGGCTCTGGCCGTCGCAGGCAGCGCCTGGCCACTCCTGGCGGGCTGGGCAGAGGCCGCCCGCCCGCGCGCACCCCGCTCTGGCTCCGAGGCCGCCGCAGCCCCAGCCGAAGGCGGCGGGGGCCCCGCCAGCGGTGCCAGGCCGCCCTGGCCAGAGCCCGCCGCCGCCGCCGAGGATGCTGAGGAACCAGTCCTTGGGGCCTTACCGCCGTGTTTCAGGCTGCCCTGGCCAGCAAGAGCTTGGTGTGCCGCCAAGGGGGCGGAGCACACTGCGGCCGCTGCCTGGGTGGCAGCCTTGCCGTCCACGTCCAGGGAGCTGGCCAACTCGCCCTGATCAGCTCCAGGCTCGCCAGCGGGTTGAGCAGCAGGCGGCACCGTGGGAACAGGAGCTGCCCCAGCGCCAGCCGTAGCACCGTCGTCCACGTCCTGGGAACAGGTGGCTGCCGCACTGCGGATCCGCAAAACACCCTCCCGCCTCGCCCCTCCCGCTGGAGCTCCCTCCTCCTGTGGCTGGAGTGCCCTGGGGGCGAGGTCGGGATTGGGCGGCGACTCGCGCTCTGACGCCTGGGTGCCTGTGGCCTGCGTGGCCTTGCCGTCTGCCTCCACCACCTCGAGGTCGCTGTGCACGCTGAGGGCCGCGAACTCGTCGGTATCGTCGTAGCCATGGGCGTCCTCGGCGGCGCGGCCTGTCGCATCACCTCCTTGGTCGTCATCCGAGGAGAGGGGCTCGAAGACCCACTGGTGCCAGGAGGCCGTCTCAGGCGGGGCACGATCTCCAAGAAGATCCCTGAAACGCTCCCTGACCTGGTTCAACACATCGAAGTGATGCCGAAGCAGCCGACGGCGCTGCCTGGCTGTCAAGCCCGAGTCAGACCGTACCCTGGCGAACTGAGCCTGACGGGCTGGTTTTGGCACGCGTCCAAGAGGTGGCGCATAGGTCGTCGACGACCTGCCCGAGAGTGCGGCCAGGGTTGCTACGTAGAAGATGCTCTCGAACTGGTGCCCACGCCGCCGAGCTGAGAAACCTTTCAAGATATTCCGAACACCACGTACGGTAGTCCCACTCGTTGGTGAAGCCTGCCACGTCGAAACGATCGATCCAGAAAGACGCCCAGATGATGGCATCGTCCATGATGGAACGGGCATGCTGCTGTTCGGGCGTGATGTGTGGCTGGCTTGGCGGGGTTCCCATGCACACAGGACCGTCAGGTGTCCGCTCCATCCTGCCAAGAGCCGCGCGGGCTGCTGCGACAGGAGCCCACAGCGGGTCGGGGCCCAGCTGGGAGGCAGGCGCAGGGTCGGGCTCTACTCGAGGCTCACCCTGATCTCCATGGTCTGCTCGCTGTCGCACAGGCCGAGCGGCGGCGCCTGCCGCCACGAGAAGAGGCACCGCCACACTGCCTCTCTTGGCCGCACTCTTGACTAACTTGCCCTGGAGCCCTTGGAGACGACCACGGCACTCCTGCAACTGAAAGGCCGCGAGGCGAGTGCGGGCAACCTTGCCGCAGTTGGTGCACTTGGAATAACCGCGGCACACTTCCAGAACGTGCGGGTGCCTGGGACCAGCCTGGGGTCGTGCAGCCTGAGGAATGTTGGCCTCTTGGCCCTGCTGTCGTTTGGGCCTAGGCTCCGCCAACTTGACCCCGTCGAGGAGGACCCTGAAGTGCCCGATGTACTCGAGCACGCGCTTGGTGGCCTTGAGCTCCTGCTTGACCTGCAACGTGGCCCACTCTGGCGGCGCGCTGAGGTCTGCTCCTTGCTTGGCCCATTCGTCGGCTAAGTCATTGTGCCTCATGTGAATCTGGACCTCCTCTGGCAGCTCTAGGCGTTTGGCCTGCGATATGTGCGAGGCGACTTTGATGACCGACAACTCTCTGCCAGGAAGGATGTCCATGTCATCCAGGCGATCCCAGATCTCGAGCCAGACGTGCGCATAGGGCCTGGCCGCTGAACAACACCATGCCCTGCCACGAGCCAAGCCTTGGACCACCTGAGCATTGTCAATGATGATGGCCGTGATGAAGACCGAATGCCTGAGGGCGTGGAGGAGACCCCACAACTCTGCCAGGACCGAGCTGGGGTCGGGAAAGGGCAGTGGGCCGTACAGGCCCTGCACCACGTCGTCGGCCTCCGCTGTGCACTGCAAAGCCGCCCAGCCGCCGTGCCTGAGGTCATCCAAGCCTTTGACTGATCCGTCCGAAACCAGCACATCGGTGAGCTCGGGGGCCGCGCCATTGACGATCCAATGGGTGCGCTGCGACGGTAGACTCCAAGCCAAGCCGTAACATGGGGTTCGCCGCAAACCCCGCTCCCACAACCATCTTGAGGCTTCCGACGAGGAGGCCGACACGCCCAGGTGGCCGACGTCTCTGAAGGTAGGTGACGCGTCGTGGGCCGTCAGCTGCTCCCTCACCGTAGCACACGTCGGGCTGCCGCACCGCCAGTAATAGTGCTGGTGGGTGCCGAAACAGGTCGTGTCGTCGCAAAGCTGGCAATACGGAGTGTCCGCCTGGCCCGAAGAGAAAAGGGCCTCCTGCGAAGGGAAACCGCCCAACACCGCCTTCTTGACCGCGTCGGCATGGTGTTGCAGCCACCCGTCCTGCTTGCGCCGCTTGACCAACTGCCTCGCTGGGGTGAGCCACGGCGCTGGCAGGAGCGCAGCCCGCTCGGGCTGAGCCGCCGCCCACTGGCACAGGGCTCTGGAACGGGCGGCCAAAAGCACGGCGGCCTCGACCGACTTGGGGCAAATCTGCAGTAGATCAAGATGGACGTCCCCTCCTTGGAGCACCCCGCCACGTGGAGGCAATGCAATCTCGAAGGCTGACGGCATGCCCCAACCATGGGCTCGAACTGTGACTGAGGTGGCCCCCGCTGGGCCGCGCACCACTGACCACAACTCCTGAGCGTCGGCGTCCATGTACAGCGCGAGCTGTTGCTGCACTCGGGCCCATGCTGTGGCCTGCGCACGCCGCCCCTCTGGGTGGTCCCAAGCTTCCCAAGCCAGCAGCGGTGCCAGAACGAGGGTGTCGGCGCAACTGGGGTCGAGGCCGTCGTGCAAGACTCGGGAGGTAAAAGCTGTGGCGCCCTTGCGGACGGCCCGATCCTTCTGCTGGATGAAACGCACGATGGGCCTGGGCGTGCCGCGGACACGGGCGCCGTAGGCGACCGAGGCTCCGAGGCCCTGCCGCACGACCATCTTGAGCTTGCCCCCGCGTGCACGAGGAAGGCCGCGGATCTTAGGCCAACGCTGCTTGGCTATCTTGAGCCGCGCGTGTCTGACTGGGGCTGACTGGTTCTCTGTCTTGACGCTGGGACCGTAGTCGATGCCGAGCCACCGCTCGGAGGTGCTGGGCGGTACTCCCAGGACGGCCATGGCCTGCGTCAAGCCTGAAGACGGAGTGGCCGTTTGCAGGAAAGAGCACTTGCCTCTCGCCCCGTCCCGCGCTCGGGCTACCTCCAGGCCCAAGAAGGACTCCAGCATCCAAAACAGCAAGCGCGTGGCCTGCGGCAGCATGTGCAAGACGCGCGCCTCGGTGGACATGACCCGCAGGGCGATGTCATCAACGTACAAGTAGATCGTGAGGCGGAAAACCCCCAGCAGGTCGTCTAAGCACAGCGTGAGGTAGAACCTCAGGAAGGTGGGCGCGAAACGGCTGCCCGCTGGGAGCGCTGTGGAGGACAGGACCTCCGCCGAGCAGGCCTCCCCGAGACGAATGACACGGCCAAAGGCGAAACTTTCCAGGGCGAGCGCGACCACCTCCAGCGGGCCGTCCCACCAAGCTGCTAGCCACCACATACGCTCATGCGGAACCTTCTCATAACACTTGGCGAGGTCCGCCAGCATCGTGGCCGCACGTATGCCTGTGCCCAACACGAGCTCGTCGTCCAACAAAGCTTTCCACAGCGCACGCTCCGATGATTGGCCCGCCGCCGTGTAGTCGTAGCTCCTGGGGTGCGCCGCCAACCAGCTCCTGATGGTGGGCAGCTGCCACGCCTCCCAGATTCGGCAAGGGCCAGGTAGAAGAATGATGGGTCGGCCCCCTCCATCGAGCTTCCCGATGATGAAAACGAGCAGGAGGTGGACCTGGGACGGCCACCGCCCCAGTTGTTGGCACCAGGCCAGCAATGACGCGAGCGCCGAGAGCGTGCCGTCCGTGAGGTAGGCCCAAAGCTTGGGTTGCCATCCGTCCACGCCAATCCCCGTCTTGGCCCTGAAACGCTGGGCCAAACCGCGCAGGTGGTGAGGGCTGGGCGGCGTGACGGCGACTTGCTGGAGGCCCCTCCACGGCTTGGGGAAACCTGAGCCAGTGGTCCAGACCTTCGACCAGTCGTGCAACTCCTGGTCCACGGCGGCCTGAGGCGCCGCTGGGAGCAGCTTCTTGGAGATGCTGCCCTTGGGAGCCTGCCAAGCCTGGCGCCACTTGGTGACCCTGTGGAGGAGCCCCTGCGAGCCTGGGAAGTCGTCCTCCAACCGCTGCTTGAAGGAATCTCGTCGTTCCTTGCCGATCTGCCACTCCAAGTACGAGGCATACTGACTGCAGCTGAGGCGCCAAGCCGAGAGCTCCTGCAAGTCTTCATAGCCGCGGTCCCGAGACGTGAAAACCTCGAAGAACTCCTGCAGCTCAGCCACGCCTTCTAACAGCATGTGGTGCCTGAAGCGGTCACGCAACTTGCGGATGGAGGCGTGCCGCTGCTGGTGCAACGTGGTGAGGACCAGGTCGGAAGCGCCCGTGTAGCTGAAAAGCTTTACTTCAATGATGCCCAGCCAAGCCAACTCGTTGGCAAACCACCTCCAACGCTTGGCCTCCCCGTACGAAGCGATGGCCTCGGTGTGGGTCGGGAGCAACGGGCACTTCCTGAAGCGCGGTGGTCCCCCACGCCCTCGGCATTGATCAGCTTGCCGACTGCTGGGGTCCAAACCCACCTTCTGGATCAGCTCCTCCTCGGCGGCGTGGCAGAAAGCCTCCCAGGTGTCGTCCAGGAGCTCCTGGGTAGGCACCGCATCGGGGTCGAAACCTGCAGGCACGTCTGGGCACGAGAGATCGAAGTGCCTCGGCTTGACTCCTGGGATCGGGAACTTGTGGGGTCGGATGAGCTTGGTGTAGGTAAAGGCCGACCAAGGCTGCTGAAACTCGACCCATGTGGCCCTATGAGGGTGGTAGACCGCGTCGTCGTCAATGCGGGCTGGGGAAATATTGGCAGCCAAACTGGAGTGCATCCAGAAATAATCGATCACGCGCTCACCGTGCGGGGAGCGGTTGGTGCCCCCTTCCCCTTGCCACGCTACGACGCGGCCTCTGAGCTGGTTGTTCCACGGCGAACGCTCCAAAGCGTCAGGTAGATTCTCCCAGTCCGCGATGACGATCCAGGGCAGCTGGAGCTGGACTGCCCACCCCGTGATAACTGACAGGAGAGCTGAATTGCCCACAGACGCCAACTTCTGACCAGTGAAGCAATACGCACAGAAAACCAGTAACTTGCCGATGCCCTTGGCCTCGAGGGTGGCCATCAGGAGCCTGCCTGCACAACCTGGGGGAGATATGTCCCAGTGTCGCTGTCCAGATGCAAGAGTGACGCCGACGCAGGCAGGTATCGCCAGCAAGACGCCCGCCGAGGCCCCTCCATTCGGGCCGTCCGTCGCTGGCGTGGGCAGGGCCCTCCAGCCCAAGGGCAGCAGGGCCCGTGCGCTCTCTTCGGCCCATAAACGCCGCTTGCCGTGCTCCTGGAAACCGATGATCGGAATCTTGCCCTCGGTGAGCTGCTGGTGTGCCGCGCCGTGGAGGTAGCCCACAACGTTGCCCCAGCTGAGGCTGGCATTGACGCTGTGGAAGGTGAAGCGCCTGTGGCTCCGCTGTCGACGCTTGCCTCTGCGGGCTCCTGCTGCTGAGGGTCGATACTTGGCGACGTCGCACTGGGGCTTTGCCGAAGTCCCGCTGCAGGTGGACTGGCCGCCAACACTGCCGACACTGACGTCCCCGCCCTCGGTAGGGTGTGCCACAGTCTCATGGGCCATCTCGATGATGTTAGGCTGCCCAGGGCCGCAGTGGCTTTCCCCAGATGAGACAGCTGAGCCTGCAGAAACAAAAACTGACGTAAGCAACGCCTGACTGCCTCCGTGGGCAGAGCCACCAACACCTGCTGTAACAACTGGGTCCGAGAAACCACCATCTGACGTAAATTGCGCCTGAGGGCCTCCAGCGGCCAAGAAAGGCCCGCCTGTGGGAGCAGCAAAGCCCGAGCAACCACCAACTGGCGCAAGCTGCTCCTGAGTGCCTCCAACGGCGACAGAGAAACCATCTACAGTTGAGGCATCTGAGCCAGAGGGGCCACGGCCTGACGTAAGTTGCACCTGGGTGCCCCCAGCGGCCAAGAAACCACCATCCGTGGAAACTGTAGAGCCCGAAACACCACTGACTGAAATAAGCTGCGCCTGGGTGCCACCATCGGCGGCCGAGAGACCATCGCCCGTTGAAACAGCTGAGCCAGAGAAACCACCAACTGACGTAAGCTGATCTGGGCTGCCTCGGACGGCAGAGAGACCACCAGCTGAAATACATGGGGCAGCTCCTCGGTGCTCGTCCGTGAGGTTGCACGCGGCTGGGGTGGGAGTGAGCTCGGTGCATTCAACGGGCGAGGCAGAGCAACACAGCGGCTCCTCCGAGGTCCCAGTCGAGGTGGATGGGCCGAGGTCGGCCTCCAGCACCTTCGCGGCGCACAACCTCCAGCAGTGGATGCGGTCGTCGAAGTAGACGGTGGGGGCCTGCGTTCCCGACGTCGCCTGGGACTGGCGGTCGAACCACCGCTCCGCGGCTGACTGGGTGCGGTCCTGCTGAGCCGCCTCACGCTCGAAAGCATCCTGATTAGCCACTTGCAGATGCTCCAACCACTGCCGCTGGAGGCGCCTGGCATCCCCTCCACGGTTCCAGGCTTCGTCACCCAACTCCCGTGCAATCCTCATGCGCTCGGCAATTCGGGATCCGCTGCCCGTGGTGGCTGCCAGGTCGTCCAGCATGGCTGTGTACTCCCCAGAGCCCAGCTGGTGGAAGATGTACGGCACGCAGTAGGAGTCCCAGTGCCTGCGGTCCTGAGCCGTGGTCCCCAGCGACGGGGTAGGGCGCCAGTGCCGAGCCATGCGGCGCATACGCGTGGCCAGGATGGCCCGCTCCCGCCTGCCCAGGCGGACGAGTCTGGGCTCTCGTGGCTTGGCCTCTGGCGGCGCATCAGGTCCCCAGGACTGGGCCTTACGCATCTGCGTCCCCAGCTGGAACGGCGGCTGCTGCTTCCAAGTCCCGCCTGAGCTGAGCCAACTTGGCTGCGCCATCGGGGCCGCGGAGGCTGGGTGGCTCTGGAGGGTGAGCAACAGGAGGCCGAGCAGGGGCCTCAGGCTGCCCAGGGGTGGGGGCCTGGGCTGGGGCCGCGGCGGCCGCTGGGGCCTCCGCGGGGCCTGCTGCCGCAGGGCCTGCGGCTGGCGCCTGGGCTGGCGTCTGGTCTGCTGCTCCTGCCGCCTCGGTGCGAGGCCGCTTGCGCCTGGCCAGCAGCTGCTGGTGCTTGGCGTCGATCTCGCTGCGCCTCTGCTCCAGCTGCGTCTTGGCCTCACCGAAGGTGGTGCGCACGTGCTGCTTGACTTGCTCGACGAAGCCTTCCAGGGACTTGTTGAACTCCTCGCGCTCCGTGTCGGTGATGTCCAGGTCGGGGTCGTCCAGCCTGAAGGCGTCGCCTGCCTCGACCTGGAAGTCTTCCGCCAAAAGCGCCGTGACGTTGAGGCCCACGGCAGGCTGAGTCTTGGCGCCAGGCCCCTGCGCCTCCTGCGCCTGCACCTGGACGCCCTTGGGCGCTGCTGCCTTGTAGGCCTCCTCCACCTCCACGTTGCACGCCAGGACGAGCTCACCAGCACGCACCTCCTCCTCGCGGCAGGCCTGGAGCCACTGCTCGGCGTCGTGGACCTGCTGGGACTTGGAGAGGAAGGCGGCTTGAGCCCGCCGCTGCTTGGCCTGGGCGCGGTTGAGGGCCACATCTGGCAACACCGTGGCCGCAACGGGCGGTGGTGCGACTGCCATCTTGATGGCCTCGAGCTGCTGGCCGTGCTCGGGATGCCTGGCCGCCAACGCCGCGAGGCACTCTGCATCCGACGGCGGGGCGGGCTGCGGTGGCGGTGCCTCGTACCCGAACCAGTCGTCAGAGTGCCGCACCCACGGCTCGCGCACGAATGACCACGCCGATGCCCGTAGCTGCGGAGGCTTGTCCACTGCGGCAGGCTTGAGCGGCTTCTTGCAGTTGTAGCACTCCACCCTGGCCTTGAAGTTCCACTTGCACGAGCAGTTCGCACAGCGGACGTAGTCCAGGGGGTTGGCTCCGCTCGCGTTGGTCTTGCCTGCCTTGCCAACTCCTTTGCTCTTGCCCTTGCCGCCGCCGCCCTTGGCCCGCGGCTCAGACCTGGCCCTCTGCGAGGCACTGGACATGGCGAGTGGGCAGCGCACAGCCTACCCCTTGCCAACACACGAAACAAAACTGTCGGGCGGAGAAGCCCTGGCACTGGCCGCGGACTAGCGGTATCCACTCGTTCCCCTGTGGAACAAATCATCTTGAGCCAAAATGGCTACGTGTGTGTGTGTGTGTGTGTGTGTGTGTGTGTGTGTGTGTGTGTCTGTGTGTGTGTCTGTGTGTGTGTGTGTGTCTCTGTGTGTCTGTGTGTCTGTGTGTGTGTGTGTGTGTCTGTGTCTGTCTGTCTGTCTGTCTGTCTGCCTGCTGTCTGTCTGTCTGTCTGTCTGTCTGTCTGTCTGTCTGTCTGTCTGTCTGTCTTCTGTCTCTGTCTGTCTGTGTGTGTGTGTGTGTGTGTGTGCGTGTGCGTGTGCGTGTGCGTGTGCGTGTGCGTGTGCGTGTGCGTGTGCGTGTGCGTGTGCGTGTGCGTGTGCGTGTGCGTGTGCGTGTGCGTGTGCGTGCGTGCGTGTGTGTGTGTGTGTGTGTGTGTGTGTGTGTGTGTGTCTCCCAGAGGGCCTCCGTGGAATGCAGGTCTCACCCGGGGTCAGCTGCCGGGCAAGCACGGGCTGGACGCCCACTCCCTGCCCCACTCCGTGTCCGAGGCCAAGGCCGCCGTGTTCGGCGGCGAGGCGGGGCAGGAGGAGGAGCAGCATCAGGAGGAGGAGACGGCGGTGTTGACCCCTTCTCCTGACCCTTTATCTTAGGGTTTGCCTGCCTTGACGGCTTGCCCATTCTTAATTTCATGTCATTTCCTCCTCCTCCTCCTCCTCCTCCTCCTCCTCCTCCTCCTCCTCCTCCCTTTCCTCTTGCATCCCTCATGCTCCCCCTCCTTCTCACTCTGCCCTGCCCCCTCCCCCGACGGGAGCACACGCGGGCCAGGTTGTCGAGTGGAGCGGCATCTCCTCCACGGCCTCGTCGAAGAAGCCCCTACCCCGGGGGGGCGGGCCGCGGCTTCTGGGCTCAGCACCACCGCTTCCGAGCAGCTCCGCCCGCATGCCGGCCCTGCACAAGCCCGTCTCAAGGGGGACGAACGATGAGGATGCAGGGGCCTTGGAAGGCCATGTCGACACTCTGCGGGCGGGGCGCCGCCAGCAAAACCGGCCCAGGATGGGCCGAAGGGGACGGATGCGGGGAGCGAGCCGCGCTCGGCACCGCCTCTTCCAAGCAGTTCCACCTGCATGCTGGCCCTGCACACACTTTTTGTTTGATCCGCGGGTCGAGAGCGCACCTCTTCCGGTCGAAGCTAAGCGGGCCGCGCGAGGCTTGAATTAACAAAGAGGGGGGGACAGAAGGAGCGCGGCCTCACGGCAAGGCCGGGAGGAGGCACAGCCTCGGGATCAGGCGGTGCCGAAGACCTGGCCCTGCACACGCGCAGGACGGCACCTGGACACCGCCACCGTGCCGAGCCAGGTTTCATCCCGGCCATGGAACGGTGTAATTATACGCCCTCCCGGCAGAGGGCAGGAGAGTCCAAACACACACACACACACACAGCCTAGGGCCCAGGAGGGCTCTGGCCGCCTGGCACGGTGGTGGCGTACAGAAGCCCTCGTCGGATGCACACGCCCGCCTCTGCATGATAGGGAAACAAAAAGTGGCATAAACATGAAAACTCGGAGGTCCGCGCGGATTTCTCGGCTCGGCGCTGGGGCCCCCCGGCGGCGCCTCCGGCGCCGCCCCTGGCGCGCTCCGCGCGCCAGGGAGGGGGGCCCAGCGCCGATCCGAGAAATCCGCGCGGATTTTTTGGATTTTTTTATGTTTATGCCACTTTTTGTTCCCCTATGCATCTCCGACACCGTCGCTGCCTTGCTGTGGCGACGCCCCCGCGCGGTCGAGCACGCGCCGGCCAGCCTCGCGCGCGGGCGGGCACGACTTCGCCTCCTGCTCCCCCTGCCAACTCCTCCCCCTCCTCCTGTGTGGCGCCGCTGGAGGGGGGTCGCTAGCCGGGGTTCGGCGAGATCCCGCGGTCGGGGTCGGCGGCACCGGCCGTCGGGCTTTCGCAGTCTGATCGGGGCTGGGTCACGCTCTATAGCGGAATCCTACTCAGGCTCGATCCAGCACTGATGCAATCCCATAACGGTTGCACACAGCTTTTACTGGAATGTCCCGGGGGATCGATCCAGTTCGAATGGAATCATACGAGGGCTGGATCCAGCTCTAACTGAATCCCATAAGTTGTCTCGATCCAGCTCTGATAGAATCCTACCAGGGCCCGGTCCAACCCTGATAGAATCCTTCCAGGGCACGATCGTCGTCCCTCGGTTTCGTTTTCGTTTTCGCTGTCGTCGTCGGCGTCGGCGTCGTCCTCCTCCTCGTCGTCGTCGTGGCCGCCGCTGCCCGACAGCGCGGGCGCGGGCGCTCGCCGTCGTTGTTTGCCACTTGGGTTAAGTCGTGCCTGTCCCCCTACAGGGGGATTTTCGACGAAAACTAATACATAGCCAAAAACAGATTCCAAAATTGTAAGAAGAATACTGAAAAAATAGTCCCCAGACTATTTTCTTACTATTTTTGAACGTTCCCCCTGTAGTGGGACAGGCCCGACTTCGCACTTGGGGGGGAAGGGGTGGGGTGGGGCGGGGGCTGGTCCGACCCCCCCTCCCTGGTAATTCATGGGGGGGGACCCCAGGTTCGAACACCCCCCCCCCTTTCCGGCGTCCACAGAGCGCGCGCTTTCCGGCATGTCCTCCGCTCTTCTACTACGACGTCGTCGAGATCATGGGCACGACCTCCAGCGCCGCTCGAAGATCTACCTGGTGTGGTCTGGGAGTTCCCTGGCCGTTCCGCCTGGTGTGGTCTGGGAGTTCCCTGGCCGTTCCGCGCCCGCCTCCTTCTGCCGTCCTTGCCCTCTCCTCCGCACTCGCCGCAACTGGCTGCGGCCGCGTCTCGCCGTTGGCCCGACCGCTTCTTGGACCCAACTCGCCGCAGACCACAGAAACGTATTACGCCATCGCCATCGCCATCGCTCGGACGTCCATTCCCTGTTTGTTTCGGTTTCGTGCGTGGTTTATTCGCCAATTGATCAAGGATGCTCCTCGATGGTCCTCGCCGAAAGAAAAATGCACACGTCCGAGCGATGCCAAGTGCTTGGGGGTGGACAGAGCCCCCTTTAGCAAAACGCCCTTTCGTGACGGCTGCCATGGGGCACTCCACGTGCGCACGGCACCGCAGTCCGACTGCACCCCAGCGGGGTAGTGAACCGACATCCAAACGCAACCGAGCGTCAGCGAAACGCACGTGGATTACAGTCATCGGCCTGACCTAAGGAACGATAAATCAGGAACGAAGCCCCTTGTCTCCAGGGAATAACGCAAAAGGAACGATAAATAATACATAATGCATAAGGAGCGATAAGTGGAACGACCGAGCCCCTTTTGAAAAGTAAGCGTTCCTTATTCAAGCCGCTCACTGTAGCGAAGCCGGCCGGAACCGCACGGGCATGCTCGCATGCCAGTGTCGAGCCCGCCGGTGCGGATTCCCTCAGCCGACACGTCTGGGTGGGGCGCTCTCTCAGCGCCCGACTCCAGAGGAGCCACCAGTGGCCTGAACATAAACCGTCGAGTGTCCGCACGGATTTCTTGGAGCTGCGCTGAACCTCCTACCTGGCGCGCGGAGCGCGCCAGGAGTAGCGCTGGAGACGCCGCCAGGCAGGAGGCCGGCGCCGACCCCAGAAGTCCGCGCGGCACTCCGATGCGCATGCTGCTCATCTTTCTTCGAGCTCAATGCGCGACTCGTGGCAGTCTGCCTCCACCCGAGCGCTGGGATCTACTGGCCTGGGTCAATACACGCCCGAGGCAGTCGGGCTTTGCGGCATCCTGCGAGATCATGCAAGATCCTGCGGGGCCCTGCGCGCTAGCCCAGGCCGATGCAACCCAGCCTGCCTTCGTAGGACCCTGCAAGATCCGCCGCTGTGGCTGGCCCCCGTTTGCATCGATCGGGCGGGGGTGCCGCAGAAAAGGGCCCTCGAGGGGCCTTTTTCTTCACCCCTCCTTTCGGCTCACCGCCCATCACCACCCGCCTGAATCGACCCCCGTCTCGTCAACTTAGCTGCCCCGATACGCAACCAAGAACACGTAGCGTATTGATACGGAGCTCAACACGTAGGCTGAAAACGTAGGTCCGGCGCGATACACTCGCCAAAACGTGGTCCAATACGTGGAGCAACACGCAGCGTATTGACACGGACGTCTTCAACACGGGACGTGTTGCGCATCAAAACGGGCGTATCGAGGCAACTGCGCTCGTCAACCCTGTCAGCGTGGCCCTCTCGGCCGCCCCGCCCGGCACGGCCCCGCCTGGTCCACGCGGCCGGCGGCTCGGAAGCGCCCAGCGCGGCCTGAGGGGCGGCGCCCCCCCCCCCCCCCCATCCCCCGCGGCACGGCGCCGCGGGTGGGCGGCGTCGCGGCCGCCGCCGCCAGGGCCCGTCGTCTCGTCGGCCGTCCGTCGGCGTGGCCTGACGCCGTCGGTGGCAGGCCGTCGGCGGCCGGCGGCCGTCGGTCGGCGGCCGCCAGCGGCAGGTCGACGGTTGTCGGCCAGGGGGCGCCCGTCGTCGGTCGCCGCTGGCTGGGCATCCCTCGTCCGCCGGCCGTCGTCTGCCGTCGGCCTGCCGTCGCCGCCGTCGTCGCCGGTCATTGGTCGATCGGTGGCCGCAGGTCGTCGGTCGTCTGTCGACCGTCGTCGGTGCCGTCGTCATCGCCGCAGCTTTTGTCTCCGTCGTTGTCGCCCTCCTCCTCATCGTCGTCCTCCTCCTCTTCTCGACCGAGCCGCGGGGGCGAGCGCTCGAGGCGTCGGTCTGCGGGCCTCACGGCTCGCCCGCTCGCCCGCACGGGCCGCATGGCAGCGGGGCTGCGCCAGCAAGAGAACGGCGCAGCAAGACAAGCGGTGGCGGACCAGCACGAGGGACAAGGAGAGGAACCCATCCTGATCAAAACCTCAACCCAGCCGCCTGGAGAAAGTGAAGTCGTCGTCCTCCTCCTCCTCCTCCTCCTCCTGCCCCTCCTCCTCCTCCTCCTCCTCCTCCTCCTCCTCCTCCTCCTCCTCCTCCTCCTCCTCCTCCTCATCCTCTCCTCCTCCTCCTCCTCCTCCTCCTCCTCCTCCTCCTCCTCCTCCTCCTCCTCCTCCTCCCCCCCTCCTCCTCCTCCTCCTCCTCCTCCTCCCTCCTCCTCCTCCTCCTCCTCCTCCTCCTCCTCCTCCTCCTCCTCCTCCTCCTCCTCCTCCTCCTCCTCCTCCTCCTCCTCCTCCTCCTCCTCCCCTCCTCCTCCTCCTCCTCCTCCTCCTCCTCCTCTCCTCCTCCTCTTCCTCCGCCTCATCTCATCCTCATCCTCCTCCTCCTACTCCTCCTTCTCCTCTCTCGCCCCCTCCACATTCAGCGAACAGGTTCCCCTACCCTGCTCCTCAGCCTGCTGATCCTGCCCCCCTCCCCATCCTTCGTATCCCCCTCCCCCCCCCTCCGCCCTTCCCTTTTCCTGGGCGGCACCCACCTAGGCGCCAGCACTGTGCCACTGGCAGTATGCTGAGAAGCCCACTCGCCACAGCAGGCCCTCCTATCTTTCAAAAGCGCTGTCGCCACCCCACGACGACGCATGCGCGGGCCCCAGGCTGGGCCCCTCCAGAGAAGGGTGCGGGCTCGGCGGTGAACCAAACTCGGCCCTCCTCCTCCTCCTCCTCCTGCTCCTCCTGCTCCTCCTGCTGCTCCTCCTCCTCCTCCTCCTCCTCCTCCTCCTCCTCCTCCTCCTCCTCCTCCTCCTGACGTTTCTGACGTTTCTCGCTACACAGCGTCTTATCGCGCGCCCCGCGGGCGCGGAGCGCGCCGCAGCGGCCCACAAGGGCCGTGCGGGCACTCGAACAGCGGCCCCGGGAACCCGACCCCGAGGAGAGCAGGGAGGACCAGGGACCAGACTTAAACCTCGGAGGAGGGAGGAGGGGGCCGG